TTTTTAGACCGATGAGCTTTGTAAAAATCGATGCGTTTCAGAAAGGTGGGGCATAGAGGAGAAACAATAATGTACAGTATGTGGAAAATAATGCGTTTTTTTAACCTTAAACCACAAACACATTGCATTACACCAAATACACAAAATAATGTTCTTTTTAGCAGCATCATATGACCCCTTTAATACGCAGGAATCCCGACATTAAACAAATAACCATTTAAATGCTTAGGACGTTTGCATTGTAAGAACGCACAGGGATACTTCAGATATAAAGATGCTGACTCGCTAGGTGATGTTTTCTCATTAAAATTATACGATTTCCTATTAATTCAGTAGAAAGTATGGGAATACTAGGGAATACCAATATGGTGGCGTAGTGGCTTCACTTTTAGGACGTCATGAGCAATCCAGTTTTCTATTATAGATCAGTGGTTACAACCCTTTTAATTAAAAATACAAATACCATTCCAACTTACCGGATCTCAAAAAGAGGGTCTTCTCTGATCTTGGCAGCCATATCATTAGTAGAGACAGAACTTGTAGGGTTAAATATGGAACCAGGCAGGAGGCCCGTCTCAGCTGATGGTCCGCTCTCAGGGTCCTCATACTGCTGTGTGATCTGCTTGTCGATGGGGCGACCAAGAAGGTATTCCTCCCGAGAGATCTGTCCTGCTGGACCCTGGTACATCCAGTCCAATCGGTCATCTTTCTTTCTGCAATATTGAGAAATCTGATATTACATTATAGGTTTAAACCTGTAAGCCTGTTATTATAACTAAATGCAATTATACATCATGTGTTATAATGAACTTCTTTCATGAAAAAGCTTTGTGCTGGGATTGACTGTGAAAACTGAGAGAATGTGTCTGAGTGTCACACACTTCACAGCGCCGGTCTCTTGCGCATATCTGGTAATCTCTTCTCGGGCTCGCTCCTCTTTAAGCTCCTTCTGCAACTCCTCAATCTTCTTTCTCTCCGCCTCATGTTTCTGTTCCGCTTTCCACACTCGCTCGATGTTTTTAAGAGTTTGCGGATGCCAACTCTTTTTCAAGTTCTGGTGGTATTTGTGGAGATAATTCAGATTTCAGAAAAAAAACAGATGCGGAGTTAATCACTTTTAATGAAAGGCCTGGATTCTTGGGGAAAAAAAGATGTGGAGATAATCACTTTTATTAAATGACTTCTTGGTTGCTTAGTTCGGGACACTTAATATTTGGCAATATTATCGACTCTATCGCACAGACACTATTGGATAGAGTTGACTATATTACTGAACTGGGGCCCGTTCTTCGTACATCGCTAACTCAGTTAGCTGGATTTGATTGTTGGTGATTTGGCATGATCTCGGATTGTTTGGTTCTAAGTAAATCAATATTAATAGACAATTAATTAAATGCCTCATGATTTAAGGTATTTAACTATAATATTTAGATTAGCTTTTCTTTAATCATGCTGTCATTTCCTTTATTTCCTCCTCATAGCTCCTACAATCTAAAAGTGCATGCTGCACCGATTTCACCGTGATTGGCCACAGTGTGCAAACCTACCAGTTTGGTGTTTACCTGTTTTGTGAAGCATCTCCAGTTTGCCCTATCCTTAAACATGCAATGACTCTTCTTTTCAGTTTCTGCCTTGATATTAAGTAAATGTCTACCTGTATCTTTTACGTCCCAGCATTCTTGCCATTTTTCACCATTTGTCTCTTTATAATTGTTTTCCCCTCCGCTTTAGTGTTTATTAACGGATTATTTTCCTCATTTTCCTCTCAGTGCGGTCAAATAGGGGAGACTGTGGATGAAAGTAACACCTTTTCTTTGAGCATCAGTAACTCAGTGGTTGTTTGTGCTAGATCTAATCAACTTTGATAAATGGTAGCCACATTTGGCAAATATAGCAAAATTTGGCTCTACAAATAAAACTCACTTGGATGCAGTGGTGGACCGTAAAGGAGTCGTTTTACTTCGTTACTGTACATTTTTCAAGTATCTGTACTTTACTGGAGTAGTTTTATTTTGAGTAACTTTTACTTTTACTTCACTACATTCCAAAGCATAAGATCGTACTTTTTACTTAACTATTTTTCATAAAACATATCGTTACTCCTTATATCACGTGCTCTGACACGCAGAAGCGCCCATATTAAGCCTTAAAGTTCTGCATAATTAAGGGCGTGGCCACTTGAGTGACAGGTGGATTGCCGCTGCTGTCACCACCGTCGAGCTAGGTGGGCGTGGCTTCAGCAGCCAGCTCCCGCCTCTTTGCCCATTTTCGATTATCTGGGAGTGACGCGCGGTGAGCGCTGCCAAGATGGCGACGACCGCCTCCGCCCACTTTGAGCTTCAAAAACTCTCTTCGGAACCCTACGGGTGACGTCACGGACACTACGTCCATGTTTTTATACAGTCTATGGTCTCAACCCAGCAAGCAATAGCCGTCATTTCAGCGTCTCGGTTAACTATAGATTGCAATTGTAGCCCTGCTGAGACATGACTACTGCGCGAGACATGAGTTAGTAGAGATCAGTGTTGTGTTTTGAATTTAATTTTTACACGAGAGAGCACTAAGTTTACCTGTCGGAGAGCACCGGGCATGGTAAAATGGTAAAAAAAATAAACTCTCCAAAACAACATTTCCTCACCAAAGCTCTCATCTTTGACAAAGTCCATCATTTATTTTAATTATTATATTGAATTTATGACTGAACAATGGCTTGTTAGATACAGAGAGAGCATGAGCTAATTGAATAGAATATATTTGTCATTGTACAAGGGCAATATAAAATTATCAATTATAAAAAGTTTGCAGCAGTATTAAAATGGTGCAAATAGCTCAGATTTGCAATGCAGCATTAAAACCTAAACAGTACAAACAGAAAGCATAATGTAATAAAACGGTAGGGGTCAAGATTAATAATTTTTCCAATAGTTATTTAATCTTAGCAAGAATCTTGGTAAGAATTTTAAGATCAGAATTCAAAAGAGCAATGGGTCAATACCTACCTACAAAGCTACAGTACTGTTAAAAGTTTTAGGCACTTGTGTTAAAATGAGGATGCTTTCAAAAATATTGTGATAAATAGATTTTCTTTATCAATTAACTTCTATTAACTAAATCAAATCAACATGTGGTGTGAGCACCCTTTGCGTTTAAAACAGATCATGTGACTTTCTCATCACCACCTGCATTTGGTGGTTATCAGTGTATTACAAAGGTACAAAACCGATTTCAGTACTTCAATAGGTTGGTATATTAACATTATATCAGTTAATGAAATTACGGTATTTAACTGTAAATTTAAGTTAAAACCTAAAACGTTGCTACTGTATTTTTTACGGTAAAATTCCGGCAACCACAGCTGCCGTTTTTTTACCGTAAATTTTACGGAATTTTTTTTACAGTATATATATATATATTTTTTTTTTTTTTTATTAAACTTGGTTTACTGTTATGTGTCTAAACGTTGGGCCATCTCAGTTATAATGCTAATGGGCGAATTTTCTGTCTGGTGACTTCTTTTTACTTAAACAGAACTGGTTGCCTCCTGGGTATAAATATCACTTCTGCACCTATGGTTTGTGCACTACACAATGCGAATCACACCTGGACCACACAAGTTTTGAGGCATCACTAAGAATTGCGTTGACAGAGATTTGTGAAGTAAAGGAATGGGTGAAAAAGCTTAGTGAATCATCAGGAGTGAGTTGGAGAATGGCAGCGACAAAACCAAATAAGGGACAACGTGTGCTTTACAAGGTAATGTCAAATCATTTCATTCATCTTTACTCTATATAAGTGTAAGACAATTAGTTACACTGAAAATGACATTGCAGTAAATGTTGTTAATATACAGAATTGTACTGTGCAAAAGGCACATTAGATTCTTCACCCAAATTTCAAGACCATTATTTATATATGTATTGTTTATATTTATATTTCGCTTTATCGTGCCAGTAAGAAATATCAGTTAACATTGACTTTTACCATTAATTGTAATAGTCCAGTGAGATTTTTATCACTGCGATGGACTGGCCATCTGTAGGCTCCAGTATTCGTACAACCCTAGGACAAGTGAGATGGATGGATGGATTTTTGTATTTTTCGGCTTTGCAGGTTGATTTCTCCAAAGGTCTTGGAGATATTGGCACAGGATGTAGCCTGTCTCTCTCTTCTTTTTTTTTTCTTCATGTAATCCCTGTTGGACTCTGATGGGGAGATCAGATTTCTGTGTGGTCCATACTGTTTGTTGTTGGACTTCTTGCTGACATTTTCTCCCTGGAAGAAGAGATGTTGTATGTCAGTGGGATGTTTTCCAGGATAAATAAAGGAGTAATAATAATAATAATAATTACAATTAATGGCAAAATGTAAGTTTGGACATGTAAAATAATTTTTTCTATTGGCAGACTAATGCAAAAGATATAAATAACTAAATAAAAAATTTAACATGTCTAAGATTTGTGCACACTTCTGTACATATTTAAACAGTCATATTCTTTAGGTTCATATAGGTGCCAGCACAATGTTTATGTCCGATCAGAAGACGGCTGTCAAAAAATACATGCTGTGAGGCAAAAATGGTTTGCACTCTGGTGAAGACTACGTGGATACACCGTCATTTTTGCTCATAAAGGTAAGAGTAATACATCATTCGTAACTGTAAAGGGTCTACTTTTATTTGTATAAATATTTATTTGGATAAAATAAGTGGTTTTGCCTGCTTCTTTGTGTGATTTTATTTGAATTGAATTTATTTTCAGGAGCAATGATCCCCATATGCCCACTTACCCAACTTCTGTGCGTTTTGTACAATGTAGGGGTTGCACCGACTAATCGACTAGTCGACTTGAATGCTCTGCCATGATGCTTTAAGCTTGATGTCGACTAGTCGCTGGTCCTATAGAGGGCGCAACAGGATAATAAATCTTTGAAGAACTTCCACATTTACACTCCGTTTCCAAACAGTTCAAATGACAAATAAATGCATACTCTGAAAGCGCTCCACAAGACATGTGTGATTATATTACTGGATGCTCGAAATTGAACGGGAGAATGCACGTTTTAAACAGCTTATTGTACAGGTAAGTTAATCGCCGTTCGATTCTAATGTACATCACGCACACATCGCGCGCGTAACAAGAATCATTCAGCGCGGAAATGTATTGTCAACACTGTTCAGTGATTTCTCAATAAAATAGCTTAGAAACTGAAAAGTTCAAACATATATTTCTTAATAACTAAATCCCACAGCTTCACTACTAGTAGAGAGACGCTGCCAGGTAGAATTAATTCACACACGCAGTCGCTCTCACTAATGCATTCATATGAATGTAATCTTTACTGTGCTACTTTATCTGAATCTGATTTAGAATGAGCAGAAATCTGTGAGAAATATAACGACCCAAAAACAAAAGAACTGATAAAAAAGCTGTTATAGGAGCAACAGCCATGTGGGCAGCGCTGTGTCATATGCCATAGCTGTGCACAAGGTGTTTGTCACAGCTCCAGACTTATTTGTTCATTAATGACGTCATCAGCGACTAGTCGACTTCCACTCGACTTTCATCACATAAAAGTCAACTTCAAAAAATCAGAAGCCGTTCAACCCAAAGCAATGTTGTTTTTTATTTACCGTGGTAATACCATGTTTTTTTTTTGGTTTGTTTTGCATATGCACCATAGTAATCTAATTATTAGGGATGCACCGATACCGATACTGGTATCGGTATCGGGCCGATACTGAGCTCCTGTACTCGTACTCGTTAAAATGCCCCATACCAAATGCCGATACCACACAGCATGTGATAAAACAATGCACACGTTACTTAACGGTAGGGAGAGAGAGAGAGAGCGCGCACTTGTTGTGTGATCTTTATTGATGTTCGCTCACACAGGTGCATCTAAAAAAAAAAGTAGAATATCGTGAAAAAGTTCATTTTTTGGTTCTAGATTCATTACATGTAAAGTAAAACATTTAAAGTTTTTTTATTTTTTATTTTGATGATTAGAGCTTACAGCTCATGAAAGTCCAAAATCCAGTATCTCAAAATATTAGAATATTTAAATTTGAGTTTCATTAAATGACCATCCCTACAGAATAAATTCCGGGTATCTCTTGTTCTTTGAAACCACAATAATGGGGAAGACTGCTGACTTTGCAATAGTCCAGAAGACAATCATTGACACCCTCCACAAAGAGGGTAAGTCACAGAAGGTCTTTACTGAAAGGGGTTTGACACCCTCCACAAAGAGGGTAAGTCACAGAAGGTCTTTACTGAAAGGGGTGGCTGTTCACAGAGTGCTGTATCAAAGCATATTAAATGCAAAGTTGACTGGAAGGAAGAAATTGGGTAGGAAAAGGTGCACCAGCAAAAGGGATGACCGCAAGCTTGAGAATACTGTCAAGCAAAGCCATCACACCTCACTGATGCTGGAGTTTGTGCTAAAGGAGCCCTGACCAAGTATTGTGTGCATAAATGAACATACTTTAATCAACTTGAACTTTTCTGTTTTGCAAATTCTTTTTTTGATTGATGAGAATCACAAATTTTTGATAGAATATTAGGAAATATTCTAATATTTTGAGATACTGGATTTTTGACTTTCATGAGCTGTAAGCTCTAATCATCAAAATTAAAA